TTTGCTTCATCGATTGGGCGGCGCTGTGGCTTAGTGGTTAAAGAAATCCTTTCACCGTGCAATCCTCGCCGTTGACCAGGGTTCGATTCCCGCAGTATGCAGTTTAGAAAATGACCATTCTCGTAACATTCAGACAATGGTACGAGGGCCACACTGTACATGACATTGGGACTTAACTATGTTGTATTCCAGTAGTTAGCATTGGATACACTATCTGCAATGCAGAGATAGAGCAATAATTTGTTTTAATGAGTATTTCTCTCTCCCCCCCCCCCCCCCCCCACCTTCTTCCCCTTCCCTATTATTATAAAAGTTAACTGAATGTCCTTTTACCCATGGCCAAGCTTAGTACTAAAGTTTGGCCATGGCCTGTACTAAAGTTTGGCCATGTTTTACCTGACGTGGCAGAATCAATCCCAGGAAATTTTGACAGATATTTGTGACGTCACTGGGAATTTTTACGTTCTGTTATTTGTCATCGCCTCTGAAAGGTCGACTTGCTGAAGCCCTGAAGAAACCAACGCAAGACCATCTGCCATGAAGTCGCCCACAGCTGGGATCGAACCTGGCACCTAGGAGTTATGAAACGTGATCGCAATGCCTAACCCCTAGACGCTGATGTTAAGTTTTAATCATCATCATGTGCCCTGCCAACAGGCGTAGGCACTCATGCCTCTCCACAGATCGCGATCCCTAGTTGCCTGGAACAGCTCTCTTGGTGATTTCCCTCCATGCCATCTTTTCAGCCCATCCAGTATCATCTCTCTTGGTCTGTTTCTGCTCCCCTTTTTCACGAATCTTCCCATTTGCACGATGTTCTCCAATGTCTCTCTTCTCATTATGTGGCCAAAGAACATTGTTCGTCTCTTTATTCTTGCTGTATATAGAGATCTACTTTCATTAGCCTCTTTCAAAAATCGTTGTTAGTTACTCTGGCCGTCCAAGGTATTAGAAACATTCGTCTCAGAAATTGGTAATATATTTTAATATTCTATTGATTTCGTTCTTTATCTATTGTTGTTCTCATGTTCCTATGATTAAATTATTGTATTGATTGAGTTCACGTTCCACTGATTGATTTAATATTTGCAGGACCTAAAGAAGGTCGTTCAGCGGCTGTGCACGCACGCAAGAATGTGGATCTCTTGAGCCCTGATGAGGTCGTGGAGCTGAGATCAGCGATGACAAGTTTGCAGCTAGACAAATCAGCTGGTGGATTTCAGGTACTGATTTCTTGTCTTGCGATGTGTGAATTTAAAGTTCCTTTTTATACCCCTGATCCCTCGATAATCTAGTGCTGATTACAGATTGTTATAGACCAATCGACAGTTTATGCATCTTGAAGCTCTTAAAGTGTCTACGGTTGGAAGCGTTGTGTTTGATCATCCTGTGCAGGTAATGTTAAATTCATCAGTGCTTTTGTATGTGGCCGATCTGGTCACTCTGGTCGTTTATACCTCTGGTGCATTGACGGAGGAAACAGTTGTTGAAATTAATGAACATTTCGTAACTGATCAGCTGTATGGCGTTTCCAGCGTTCATTCTTTCGTGTTCAAGATGATGTTGAACTATCTGCCAGTGTGCGTGACGATGCTGTATACAACTAGAGCCCAAGGATAGTCTTTGCAGGATCAACCCGAGTTTCTACATATGGCTTCAGATTTTGCATGTCCTTATTATTTTATAATTTACAATTGCACAGGTGCTGCTGTTTTTCCTAAAGTGGCAAACTTTTTTTGGTGGGGTAGGGATATACTTCCCCCCCCCCCCCCCAACCAAAAAAAAAAAAACACCTACATATAATTGAACGGGATCTCTACCTCTTCAGTTCTTTTTATGTGATGTTACTCCCACAGAATGCAGTCCTGCAGAAAAAAGTTTTCTTTTAATCTCAGATATAAATTATGATTATCTTTTATATGCTTATTTTGATTCTATTCTATTACAGAATCTTGGTCGGTATCACGGAACCCCAAAATGGTGTCCCTTCCCGGATGCAGAAGTCAAAACATCTTGCTGCATCCATGGCATGCCAACATTCCTACACTGGCATAGGTGAATATGATCTGGTGGTATACAGTAATACTTGACTAGGAAACTTAAATATTTTGATAATATCAAGTGCCACGGCAGATTGGAAAGAATGAAAATAAAAGGCATGGTACTAGAAAAGAGGCGCAGAGCCGATCAACATGAAAAAGGGAACACATACTTGACTCTTTGAGTAAGCAAGTGCTGAAGGAGAGGGATGTATCTGCTGCATGCTGTTGTTATACAGCAAAAGACCCCTTTCTGTATTTAGGTCAACTAAGCTGTGTGTGCGCGTGTATGTGTGTGTGTGGGGGAGTGGGGGTGGGGTGGGGTGGGGTGGGGGAGAAGGGAGTACTACTACTTCTTCTTCTTCTTCGTTTCTCTACTCCTGGAATGCATCGAGGTGTCAGGGGAGGAAGAGGAAGAGATCTATATAAAGGCCCTTCTGTTCGTTTCATATATAGTACTTGTCTGTGTCTCTGATATTTCTATGGTCCATCTTCTGCGTGGTCGACCTCTGGATCTGTTCCCTCTGTATCTGTATAACATCTCTATGGTGCCCTGTCTGCTGCCAGCCTTGTTACATGGCCAAACAATTTGATTTGTTGTCTACCTATAAAATTCAGTACTGAATCTGTGCCGATTCTCCTCCTGATTTCATTGTTCCTAAGTCGATCTTTCTTTTACAACTGGCAAATTAAACAGAACAGCGCAATTCAGTGCGTCCAAGGTCTACCACAGAAGTGGCCTTTCAAATTCTGCACTAGTACCAGTATATTTTCTTTTCCGAGTTAACATCATACGACCGACCCCTCACACCCTTTTCTTTCCTCAGACTCTGGACTGTCCAGGCAGAGAATGCTCTTCGGCTGCCACGGCTATCACGATGGCATGCCCTACTGGGACTGGACACTACCTCTGACCAAGCTTCCAAATCTAGTCAACACGCAAAACTACACCGATCCCAAAAGTGGATATGAGGTGACCAATCCGTTCTACAGGTAATTCTGTCTATTAACTGTCAACATGAAATTATGTGTTATATAGTAATAAATATCGAGTGTCTCCACAGTAGTTCTGGATACAATGGATACATGCATCAACAGCTGTCTTTGTGATATTAACTGATGAGGCCTTAATTGTTTCTTCAGTGCGATTCTCGTACCACTGTCAGAAGCCACAGTCTTTTGTATTATATATATATATATATAAACTTGTAATGCATATATATATATATATATATATATTATATATATATATATATATATATATATAAATATATATATATATATATATATATATATATATATATATATATATATATATATATATTTATATATATATATATATATATATATATATATATATATATATATATATATATATATATATATATATATATATATATATATGCATTACAAGTTTTACAATACTGCAGTCAATCAAAACTGAAATGAATAATGACTATATGGAATGTGTAGGCCGATATGCTACTAAACATAATATTTGATCTTAGATCTATACTTGTTGACTAACCTGACAATTTCTCTTTCATCTTCTTATCTTGCAATTACAAAGCGAAATGTTGCGGTTCCACTGGCGGGGGCGGGGGGGGGGGGGGGGGATTTAAGAATATTTTTTGTGATATCCGTGATCTGTTACATAAGTTCATCTCCAGCCCCTTAAGTATGTTCTCGATGGTGTCGTTTCATTTTCTGCATGGTTTTTTCCTATGCTCTATGCTCATTTTATTACTTCAGTGTGGGTTCCTGTAGGAGTTGCTACCAGTGTATTCTTGTCGAATGACCAAAACATCTCATCTGAGTGTAATATTCTGTTTGTTGAAAGAGATGGAAATGTAGCTTGTGTAATTAAAATAATCATTAACAATCCTCATGGTATGGGTTAAAACATTAAGGAAAGAAAGCTCTATAGGCTTGGAAAAATCAAACGTAAGTTGTAGATACACCTCATGATAGTGTTTTACAGCTACATGTTCATATTTTCAGTTCTCATGTAGACGACGTTGATGAGGACATGGTCCGAGAAATTAGAAGTGACCTGTTTCAGCAGCCATCCTTTGGGGCATACACGAAGATAGCTCAACAGGTAAACAAGTAAAGTATACGTTGTGCATGCGTTTGGGCGACTAAGACCTTTTTTTGGGGGGGGGGGTGGGGGGGGGGGCACCAATCACTACTCGATGGGTTATATGGTCAATAGATATCTAATATCTTTACTTCCCACGACACTGAAGTTTGGTATTAATTTTTACAAATTGGCCTATCTGGAAGCCAAGATCAGCAATAATAATAAATCCGCCAAAATAGGGATGTGACGTGCTGCTGGTAATCATTCTCTCTAAACTTCTTTCATGTGACGTGCTGCTGTTAATCATTCTCTCTTAACTTCTTTCATGTGATGTGCTTGCTGTTAACCATTCTCTCTTAAAGTCTTTCATGTTATGTGCTTGCTGTTAACCATTCTCTCTAAACTTCTTTTATGTGATGTGCTTACTGTTAACCATTCTCTCTAAACTTCTTTCATGTGACGTGCTTGCTGTTAATCATTCTCTCTAAACTTCTTTCATGTGACGTGCTTGCTGTTAATCATTCTCTCTAAACTTCTTTCATGTGATGTGCTTGCTGTTAACCATTCTCTCTTAACTTCTTTCATGAGATGTGCTTGCTGTTAACCATTCTCTGTTAACTTCTTTCATGTGATGTGCTGCTGTTAACCATTCTCTCTAAAAGTCTTTCATGTGATGTACTTGCTGTTAACCATTCTATCTAAACTTCTTTCATGTGACGTGCTTGCTGGTAATCATTCTCTCTAAGTTTCTTCCTGTAATGTACCTGTCATATCGCCATCATTTCTTTTTTTTTTTTTTTTTACAATTATATAAGTGTTTATTAATAATCTCCCAGATTTTGCTTGCTCTAGAGCAGGACGACTTCTGCAACTTTGAGGTCCAGTTTGAAATTGCCCATAACTTCATACATGCTCTGGTTGGTGGGAGCCAACATTACTCAATGGCTTCGTTGAAATATACGGCATTTGACCCCTTATTTTACCTTCATCATTCTAATACGGATAGAATATGGGCAATCTGGCAGGTATGTGCAACTTTTGGTTTGACTTGCCTCTTTTTTTCTCATTACTTATGTCTGTACAATTTTCTTCCTTTTTCTTAGCGGTCAGCAATTGTAAACTCCAGAGAAGAATCCTGACTGTTCGTCCATTTCTATAGGGTGGTCTTGTTCTAGAACGTAGGGTCTGCTACCCATCCGTTTTAACAGATCTGATTTTTAAAAATCAAGATGGCTGGTTCGTTGCCTCTCATTCAGGTGCACTGCGATCTGGGAGAAAAGACCCCGTTTTACTCACCTTTTACGACATGCTTTACGGGGATAAAGGGTCTATAATTTTTTTCGGAAGAGGACAGTTAACATTTTTAGATCAAGTTTTCAAACAGTTTAGGACTCCCAGATCGACTGGGTGTAAAATCGGTAACAGGAAATATCGTGCGCAATAAAGACGTTTAATACAATGCTGACTACATTACTCATGGAGTGCCACATGGTCTGTTATCCTGAAAAAAGACCTACCACTCACACACACACAGAAACACACACATATACATACAAACACTACGGGGAATTTTTAATGCAAGCCCTACTCCAAAAAAAAATTCTTAGTTAAGAAAATCAGCTACATTTCGGCCCAAGATATGCTCAGGTATCGAAAGCTTTATTGCTTGATGTGAAGGACTGGCGAATGGACCTGTACGAACTGAAAATTCATGCTGGAATTTGAGATTTAGAAACGTATGACGTTCCAACGTATGACGTCCTAACGTTTGACATTCCAACGTATGACGTTCCAGCGTACGACGACCTAACATTTGACATTCCAACATATGACGTTCCAGCGTACGACGACCTAACGTTTGACATTCCAAAGTATGACGTCCCAGCTTACGACGACCTAACGTTTGACATTCCAACTTATGACGTTCCAGCGTATGATGTCCCAACGTATGGCGTTCCAACGTACGACGTCCTAACGTTTGACATTCCAACGTATGACGTTCCAGCGTACGACGACCTAACGTTTGACATTCCAACGTATGACGTCCCAGCGTACGACGACCTAACGTTTGACCTTCCAACTTATGACGTTCCAGCATATGATGTCCCAACGTATGACGTTACAACGTACGACGTCCTAACGTTTGACATTCTAAAGTATGCCGTTCCAGCGTATGATGTCCCTGCGTATGACGTTCTAACGTATGATGTCCCAAAGTATGACGTTCCAGGGTATGATGTCCCAACATATGACGTTCCAGCGTATGACGTTCCAATGTATAATATTCTTACGTATGACGTTCCAGCGAATGACGTTTAAATGTAGGACTTCCAACGTATGACGTTCCAACGTATGACTGTATTTGAAAAACAAAATTACATTTTCTTACATGAATAAATGTCGAATTTTATGACTGAACAGGATATTCCGTTTGAAGCAAATTAATATACGCCTGGGTTTTATTTTTTCGCAGAAACAGCGTATAAACCTCTGCTGCTAGCATTGATTGCTTTAATATTATTAGGACTATGGCCAGGATGGCGTCTCTCACTTAGGGCTTTGAACGCCATCCTAATTCTGGCATACCAGAGTGCAATCATTGGTCAACGTACAAGTGACGAATCAACGGGGAACGGGAAACCTACTGTATCTCCGTGCATAGACTAACCATAGAGCAGTAAATAAATGCTGGGGACTGTTTTTGAAGTCAAGTCAAGGTTATGATAAAATGTATCAAACTAATCGTAAATTCTAACAAATAAGCTTCACGTTATTACAAAACATCAATGAACGTTGCGGCTAGAGAGCCTTCATCAGCGCGGTTCATGAATATAAAAAAAAAAACAGAAAAAAAGAGGAAGAAAACACAGAGCTGCTTAAAGGATGAAGACTGGCAATCAAGACAAATTCTAGTGAATAATGATTCTCTTTTTTCAGGCATTGCAGAGATACAGAGGGAAACCGTACAACAGTGCCAACTGTGCCATTGGTGGACTGCGTAAGCCGCTGACACCTTTTAGTCTGACCTCTGACGTAAATCCTGATCCAGTGACGCGGGAAAACTCTTTGCCATTCAAGGTATAGTTAAAATGTTGATCTCTCCTAAAATATTTTAGGATCCTGGCCAGTGCTACAGAGCATGTGCACTGCGCTGCGCTTCTTCGGATTCAGGCTAGGGTTAGAATAAGAACGGAGCACTTTTGGGTTACTACCCGTGTGCCATGATGTTTATCCGTTGTTCAAAACCTCAAACCTCAAACACTTATCTTTCACACGGCAAATGCATTTTATCTATCAGGCGTTGTATTTTCGTATATTACAATTCATAGTGTGAATATAAAGTAAAAATACAAAAAGGTGGATTGCAAATGTATACTTTCAATTATACCTGCACAAATACACACACAACACACACACAACGCAAACACACAGCAAGACAGACGAACAAACAAAAACACACCTAGACAAACAAGTTTATACATACGCAGGCGCAAAAACTAACAACACACGCCGTCACAACATATGCAGACAAACATACACAACACATACACAAAAACACAGAACATACTCAGACACACAATGATGAAACATTTTTTTCTGTAGCGCTGAAGATATTGAGCTAAAATTCCCATTGGGGTGTGTGTGTTTTTTTCTTTTAATTCTTTGACGAAGGCTTACTGGGAGCACAATTGGTGGCAAAACGTGTCCAGTGAAGTAAAGGCGGCCGGCGTAGTGTCACGAGTAGTACCGTAGCTCAGGCGACTACCTTGATACTGCGATGCAAACGATTTGCCCACTTCGTCACTAAGACCCCCCGACATTATATTTTAAAATGAATTGTTTAACTGACCAGGTTTTTGACTACCGCGGCAAATTTCACTACCATTATGATAACCTGGAGTTCAATGGCTTGAGCATACCTCAGCTAGCGCGGGTTCTGGAACAGAAAAAGACCAGAGATCGAGTCTTTGTTGGATTTCTGCTGCACGGTGTTCATCAGTCAGCGCTGGTTAAGTTTTACATTTGTATGTAAGTTTGTGTTGGTGTGTTTGCATACAACTTTGATTATATGAATAAGTTATTGTTGGTCTGTTTAATTACAGCTTTACTTATATGTATAAGTTATTGTTAGTCTGTTTGATTACAGCATTACTTATATGTATAAGTTATTGTACATCTGTTTAATTACAGCTCTACTTATATGTATAGGTTACTGTTAGTCTGTTTAATTACAGCTTTACTTGTATGTATAAGTTATTGTTGGTCTGTTTAATTACTCTTTACTTATATGTATAAGTTATTGTTGGTCTGTTTAATTACAGCTTTACTTATATGTATAAGTTATTGTTGGTCTTTTCAATTATAGCTTTACTTATATGTATAAGTTAGTGTTGGTCTGTTTATTTACAGCTTTACTTATATGTATAAGTTATCGTTGGTCTGTTCAATTACAGCTTTACTTATATGAATAAGATATTGTTGGTCTGTTCCATTACAGCTTTACTTATAAGCTATTGTTAGTCTGTTTAATTACAGCTTTACTAATATGTATAAGCTATTGTTGGTCTGTTCAATTACAGCTTTACTTATACGTATAGGTTATTGTTGCTCTGTTTAATTACAGCTTTACTTATATGTATAAGTTATTGTTAGTCGGTTTAATTAGAGCTTTACTAATATGTATAAGTTATTGTTAGTCTGTTTAATTACAGCTTTCTTAAATGTATAAGTTATTGTTGGTCTGTTTAATTACAGCTTTACTTATATGTTTAAGTTATTTTTGGTCTGTTTTTTTTACAGCTTTACTTATATGTATAAGTTATTGTTGGTCGATTCTATTACAGCGTTACTTATATGTATAAGTTATTGTTGGTCTGTATAATTACAGCTTTACTTATATGTATATGTTATCGTTGGTCTGTTCAATTACAGCTTTACTTATATGTATAAGTTAATGTTGGTCTGTATAATTACAGCTTTTCTTATATGTATAAGTTATCGTTGGTCTGTTTATTTACAGCTTTACTTATATGTATAAATTATTGTTGGTCTGTTTAATTACAACTTTACTTATAAGTTATTGTTATTCTGTTTAATTACAGCTTTACTTATATGTATAAGTTATTGTTGCTCTGTTTAATTACAACTTTACTTATAAGTTATTGTTAGTCTGTTTAATTACAGCTTTACTAATATGTATAAGTTATTGTTGGTCTGTTAAATTACAGCTTTACTTATATGTATAAGTTATTGTTGCTCTGTTTAATTACAGCTTTACTTATATGTATATGTTATCGTTGGTCTGTTTAATGACAGCTTTACTTTAGTTGGTATGTATACAGCTTTTATTACAGTTGAAAGTTAATGTTCTTCTTCTTCTTTTGAGTTCGTTCGAAGATGTAACTACGTTGTGTCCGTTTACAGCAATATTTGCGCCTTTCGGCCAACACTTCTGACTAATACGAGCAAATGTTAAAGGATCCTTTTTCAAGCCTTTAATACGTCTTGGGTATATAGGGCTAGACCTGTATTTTATAGACCAACAACACAATATGGGTGATGTGGTCAGCATTACGCCGGCCATCTTTACTTCCCAGGACTGTAACTGGTACCCACTCAAAGCTGGGTCGACCTGGGAGCCAAGGTCATTTTTGAAAAAAGTCCGGCTCTGCGGCTTAATATTGGTCTGTTTAATTACATCTTCACTTATACGTGAAAGTTATTATTAGCATGTTTACATACATCTTTAATTATCTGTGTAAGTTTATGATGATCTGTCTACATACAAATTTATTAAATGTGCAAGTTATTGTTAATCTCCATACATACAGTTTCAGTTATGTGTATATGTTATTGTTGGTCAGTTTACGTACAGGTTCACATACATGTGTAAGTGAATGTTGCTTGTTGGCAAGGCAGGGGGTCAATACATGTGAATTTTCGTCTCATACGTATGTGTATGTATATATACAGTAAAGTTATGTGTGTGTGTATGTAAAATGAGTTTGTTTGCATGTAAGTCAGCAAAATAGAGAATCTATACATGTCTGAACCACAACCAAAATTGTTATTACTTAACTGGAATTTAAATTCCTTTCCAACAAACCACAGGAGTGAAGAGAACTGTAACAATTTGGCTGGGGAGTTTTATCTACTGGGCGATCCCAATGAGATGGACTGGACATATGACCGCTTGTACAAATATGACATCACACAGCGACTAGAGGAGCTGTCCCTTCACTACGATGACCACTACTACGTCAGATACGAAGTGTTGTCTCTAAATGGCTCTGTCATCAATGAGGGTAGTTTGTTTGATACCAGAGTTCTCCGAACAGCAGGAACAAGTAGGTTGATACATTATTTGTTGTTGTTGCTGTTGTTACCTCCTTATAGCCCTGCGCTGGATTAACCATTAGGAAAACTAAGCACGTGTTTAGAGCATCACAAAGAAAGGTGGCACTTCCAAAATTTTGCAAAAGCCTTGGAGCTAAGCTTTTTCTATTTTTCTCAGTTCAAGTACATTTAATAATCCTATCAGAATAGCCATCCAACAAGGCAGACAGGATGCTTTATCTCTATTAAATATTGAAGAAGATGTAATAGGTAAGATTAGTTTTGAGGATCTTATCAGAGTCTTTGCAATGTTAAAAAAGGTAGAAGAAAAAAGAAGAATGCAACAGTGTACATTATTATCAATCTAACTTTAAATTATGATTCTTCTTTTTCTTCTATTTCAGCATTCCGAGCCCTTGAGGCTGCAGATATCACTAGCCTCCATTCATCTCTCTGGTTACCCTTCTCTTTCCGGTTGGTGACATCGAGTGTTTGCAGGTCTATCTGGACATTATCTCTCCATGTCCTTCTTGGTCTGCCTCGTGATCTACGACCATTCATCTCCCTTGTGTATACAGTTGTTACTTTTCTGTCATCTGACATTCTCTCAGTATGCTCCCCGCCATTTCAGTCTATTAGCTCTCATGATGCCAGTTATCAATGGGTTGTTTAAACATATTATGAATTTCGTTGTTGCTTCTCACTCTCCATTCACCGCTGTTTGCATCTTTGATGGGTCCAAAGATTCGTCGTAAGACCCTTTTTTCCCGAAAACCTGTAATAAGGCTTCATTTCTTTTAGTTGTGCTCCAAATTTCAGAGCCAAATAAAAAAAAACTGGTCAACGTTTTAGATATTTTTATCTTGGTGCTGTGAGGCAGACATTCTGCTTTTAGCATATGTTGAATTATGCTTAATTTCGATGAAATATTGTTTATTCTTTATTGTTGTGTATGTGTGTGTATGTATACACACACACACACACACACACACACACACACATATATATATATATATATATATATATATATATGTGTGTGTGTGTGTATATATATATATATATATATATATATATATATATATATATATATATATATATATATATATATATATATATACATATTTATAAAATATGTGAGTAACAGTTAAAGAACCTCTACAGACATGAAATTAAATTTCAGTACATTCCAAAATAAATGCCTGAGAAAAAATATGAATATATATATATATGAATCTTATAGGAAATAAAACTCGATGCCATTAGTTTGGAACAAGTGGAGAAGTTACTAGGAAGTCTTGAATTCTGTGTTGCTCTAATGATTAAATCTGCATCAGTGTACAAGCACTTAGGTGTCTAGGCACCACATTAAATGGAAAATGTCTCACACCGACAAAGGAAAGAATAGGACAACAGAAAAGCTTTCACAAAACATGGATCTCAAAATTTTTTAGTTTTAAAACCAAGTTACGTATTTTAAGTTCTAATTGTATTTCAGTGTTAAAATTTGTAAGTAACAGTTGAAGAATCTTTGCAGACATGAAATGAAAGTTCAATGCGTTCCAAAATAAATGCCTGAGAAAAGGGATGAATGAGATGCATTCAAGAGGAGAGAAGAAATAAGAGACATGTCTGGGCAACCACTAGTGTCAACAGTTATAAGACAAAGAGAATGGCTCTATATTGGGCACATTCTGAAAAGAGAACAGAGAATAACGAAACAGGCACTGAAGTGGGAAACGGGGTCTGATGAAACGAGGACATCACTAGAATCCATAAGGTGAACTTTAATGAGAGAAGCCAAAGCTGCTGGACTCGATTCCATCCATGATATCGAACTGGTTGCACAGCCTAGAGCGGAATGGATGAACGAACGAACGAACGAACTTTATTTTCAAAGGGTCACAAATTGGGCACGCAGGCCCGTCTTAAATTCGGCCCTTCCATGAATAGACTGCAATCTTAATGAGATGTAAAGTTACACAGTAAGACATTAACATCAATGCTACATAGACGCAATTTAAGACATGACTACGAATTCTAGACTATTCGTAGATATACTTCATTACTGCGATGCTCGCCTTATGGTCAAAAGGTTTTGGGTTCAAGTCTCCATCGATTTGGATTGTATGCTGTGTAAATAAGTGTGTGTATGTGTTACCTTGGCTCTCATCTCGACTTAGCCTGAAATGGATACCAAAGTCGTGATAAATAAAATCGTCAGCGGTGATGCTGACCTCGTCACCAATTGAGTGCCCTTTGGTTTACACACTCGCACACACACACACACACACACACACACGAAAAATATGTTTCTAACACAGTGGTTCTCAACATTCGTAATGTGGCGACCCTTTAATACATTTCCTTATGTTGTGGCGGCCCCGAAACATACAATTAAGTTCGTTGCCACTTCATAAATTCAGTGAATATGGGTTTTCGATTGTCTTTACCGACCCTTGTGAAAGTGTAGCGACCCACACGTTGAGAACCGTTGTTCAAGCATAATATGCCAGAAGCTCCATTTATTATATAAATTTCAAAGGATCCATGCCTTTTTCTTGAAGGTCATTTATACAGACAAGAATACCGCCAGCAGGTAACTACGGCCTCCCATGTCAGACGTGACCTTGAATCTCTGAACGAAGGTGAGGTAGAAAGTCTGCGCTCAGCTCTACGGCACATTCAGAATGACCACACCTATGAGAACATTGCTTCCTTCCATGGTATGCCGGGCCTGTGTCAGCATGAAGGACGTAGCACTGGTTGCTGTGTCCATGGTCGACCAACGTTCCCGGCTTGGCACCGGTTGTATGTGAAACAGGTAAAGAAGAGATTATTCTCACTTGCAGAACTGTCATCGCAGCGTTTTTTGTACGGCCAAGGGTATGTTAGTTTTAATCCAGAGAAATAAATTGGGAGGTCCAGCTCCCATATAATTTACTAACTTTGGCGAAGGGGTTCTATGGGTTTGACCTATTTATGTGCGCAATAATCATATTATTTATTATTACTATTATTATCCATATTGTGCGAAAGAACTGAAAAGCCAATAAAATGCTATATTGAAATAAACACTTAAATAGAGAATGTCTAAAAATGTTTATGGCACCCCCTCCCCCAAACACCCCCCCCCCCCCCACAACTTCCTAGGGCCGAGGGCGCTTATGATACCTGAACTCCCAGGGTCCGACACCAGTGCCTGTTATTTTAACATAAACTGGATATCAAAACTCATTTTTGTAGCTAGAGGAGAGAATGCATTTACGCTGATTGCATCCCACACGAGTCTATCATTCTCCACAGAGTGGTTGTTCTAGACCACATCCTAATCATATCATAGATACCGCGTTATCACGTCATAATAACATATAACCACAGTATTACCACACCATAACCACATCATAACTACCTCATAACCATAAAATAACCAAAACCATAACCACATCATAACCACTTCATAACCACACTATAACCCTAATATAACACCACCATAACCACACCATAACCACATCATTGTCATTTCATAACCACTTTATAACGGCATCATACACATTCCATAACAATTTCATAACCACTTTATAACGGCATCATACACATTCCATAACAATTTCATAACCACTTTATAACAGCATCATACACATTCCATAACAATTTCATAACCACTTTATAACAGCATCATACACATTCCATAACAATTTCATAACCACTTGATAACAGCATCATACACATTCCATAACAATTTCATAACCACTTTATAACAGCATCATACACATTCCATAACAATTTCATAACCACTTTATAACAGCATCATACACATTCCATAACAATTTCATAACCACTTTATAACAGCATCATACACATTCCATAACAATTTCATAACCACTTTATAACAGCATCATACACATTCCATAACAATTTCATAACCACTTGATAACAGCATCATACACATTCCATAACAATTTCATAACCACATCATTGTCATATCATAACCACTTTATAACGGCATCATACATAATTCCATAACAATTTCATAACCACTTCATTGTCATATCATAACCACTTTATAACGGCATCATACACATTCCATAACAATTTCATAACCACTTCATTGTCATTTCATAACCACTTTATAACAGCATCATACACATTCCATAACAATTTCATAACCACATCATTGTCATATCATAACCACTTTATAACAGCATCATACATAATTCCATAACAATTTCATAATCACATCATTGTCATATCATAACCACTTTATAACGGCATCATACACATTCCATAACAATTTCATAACCACTTCATTGTCATATCATAACCACTTTATAACAGCATCATACACATTCCATACCAATTTCATAACCACATCATTGTCATATCATAACCACTTTATAACAGCATCATACACATTCCATAACAATTTCATAACCACTTCATAATTACTTCATAACAACATTGCTGTAACATTAAAAAATATAAAAAAATAACTAACTATTGCTATAATATTTAAAAAAAATATATAATAACCAACTCATCATCATCATCAGGTGCCTTGCCGACTGGCGTGGGCGATCATGCCTCTCCATAATCCACTATCTCCTGCAGCATGTATCCGTTTGTGTGCAGACACACCTCCATGCCATGCAACAAGACTGTCCAGAATATTCTCTCGTTGTCTCCCTTTATCCCTCCTTCCACAGATCTTTCCAGTGGTCATGAGATTCCATGTACCAATGTTCCGACTATCTATCTAAATAACTTACTAACTAAAAAACGTATTAACTAAATAACTAACTAACTAGCTAACTAATTAACTAAATAACTTACTAACTAAATAACTAACTAACCTACCAACCACCTAACAAATTAACTAAATAACTAGCTAGCTAACTAACTAACTAACTAGATGGCTTACTCAATAACTTACTAACTAACTAAATAACGTTTTAACTAAAAAGCTAACTAACTAACTTACTTACAAACTAATTAACCTATTAACTAAATAACTAACACATCAACTAACTTACGAACTAACTAAAAAACTTACTGACTAAATAACTAACAAATCAACTAACTTACGAACTAACTAAATAACTTACTGACTAAACAACTAACAAATCAACTAACTTACGAACTAACTAAATAACTTACTGACTAAACAACTAACAAATCAACTAACTTACGAACTAACTAAATAACTTACTGACTAAAAAAAAACTAACTATCCAACCAACCACACAACCAATTAACTAAATAACTTACTTATTAAATAACTAACCAACTAAGCAACGAACCAACCAGTTAACTAACTCCCGTCTTTAGGAATATTAGTGATTACCCCCTAATCTCTGATTTCTGTACTTCTGTCAAATACCACTGCTATTTCATGTTATGTCCATCGTGGAAATCAAACCGTATTACTCCAAGATCACTAAATTGTTAATCACATTCACTAATCTCGTAACCACAGAACTGTAGCATCTATACATTTTATAGGTTTTTTATGAGGCTCGGTTTCGTTTGTTTGTCTGGTTCAATATTGGCGTTAGATTTATTGTTTGTTTTTAACTAACCCAGGCAAAGCAGCCCTATGAAGTCTATCGACGTTGTTTCAACAGGTAGAGACCGCTCTGCTAAACCGTGGTTCTAACGTAGCTGTCCCATATTGGGATTGGACCAGACCTTTCACCAAACTGCCAGATCTCATCAACGAAGCAGCCTATTTCAACTCTAGACAACAAACATTTGAACCCAATCCATTTTTTAGTGGCGCAGTTGCAAACGAGCAATCTAGTACCATCAGGTTTGAATCTTTTTTCTTAACATGTATTTTCCTTGTCCAAACTATATATATATATATATATATATATATATATATATATATATATATATATATATATATATATATATATATATATATATATATATATATATATATATAATGCGTGCTGAGATATCTGACAAGATGCATGAAAATAGAGACAGAAAAAGAGAACATGAGAATACTTGGCAACCTTTAAACATGGAGTGAGATGTCAGCAAACGAACTACTACATTTATTGGACAATTTTGTCATGCCATAGAAAGATGCCGTCGCACCAACTGATATATTTATTCTATAGGTGCAAAAGAGGTTGAAAAAGAAACATAGGGGTATGGTCACCATGGCCACTCCGTGGACACTTGTGATGTTCATGATGTTGATGGTGTTGATGATAATGGTAAGGGTGATGGTATTGATGATGATGATGATGATGATGATAAGGAAGTCAACGTGACCATGATAATGGGTTATTAGCTTAATCACTGTTCTGACACTTTCATCTTTTTGTTGTTTGTTTTTGTAAATCTGCATTAAATTTACCGCAAGTATCTCATATCATCTTGATCCTCTTATACCTTGCGGTATATAAATATATACCTGGAGGTGAAGTGTAATTTACGAGTAAGTGCCCCTTTGTGCGCTTCCTATATGGTGATTCCCAGGGACTGTTATTCCCTTTGTCCATGGTTTGTATGGTCGGCCTCTTTTTCGCCTCCCATCTGATCTGTACATTTTTGCTTGCTGTGGTATACTGTCTGTTGACAACTGCGCTATATGGCCAAACCATTTCAACTCTTGTCTTCTAATGAAATCCAGAGCTGCCGCTAGCCCCATTTTACGTCGGATGTCCTCATTCCCGATCTTATATCTTATTGTTACATTAAGAACAAAGTATAAACTGCCGGTATAAACTTTGGAATTGCATGTGTGCCTTGCACTACACGTGTAGTCTGTTTCAATCACTGTTTAATATCTTCAATTTTGCCATTGCAGGAATCCACGACCGGAGCTCTTCAACAACGAGGAACTCTACGAGCAGACGTTGCTAGCACTAGAACAAGACAACTTCTGCGACTTTGAAATTCAGTTTGAGGTTTTGCATAACAGGCTTCATTCCCTCCTTGGAGGACGCGCCAGATTTTCCATGGCGTCCCTGGACTATGCAGCCTTCGATCCTGTCTTCTTCTTACATCACTCCAACACTGACAGGTAATCGAGCAGTCTGAAGTAGTAAGGGGAGATGGGTCTTTAAGGTATAAACACCTTATCTAAGAAATAGTGGTAATTGATGTTGACGTTTATTATAACAACCTACGCCAGTGTGCATTACTGCGCACGTAAAAACTCTTAAAAGTTGGAAATGGCAAAGAGTAGCCTAACAGCTCTGCAATGGCAAAATGTGGAGTTACAAATCTACCCGAAGTATTTCAGGGTCCTGGCCGGTGCTACAGAGCCTGTGCACTATGCTGAGCTTCGTCGGACTCAGACTTCAGTTAGAAGAAGAACGGAGCACTTATGGGTTACACCCGTGTGCCATGATGTTGATCCGTTGTTCAAAACCTCAAACCTTCAAACCTCAGTCTTTACAACCTTGCTTCAGATTTTCTTGTCTCCATTAACACAAAAGTTGCACAGAGCATAGTAAACAGAACGCAGTTTCACTCACAAGAACACAGATTCACTCACCCAGAACACAGGTTCACTCACAAGAACACAGATTCACTCACCCAGAACACAGTTTCACTCACAAGAACACAGATTCACTCACCCAGAACACGAGGTACATAGTACAGATTCCCCTTGTCATTAAAAGCGCACAATCTTGGCAATGTATGAGATGAGGAACGTGCAACGCACCGTGACACACGGTAGCCTAGTTAGTCATGCCTGCTATTCTCGTGAATTACATTCCAGCTGCTGGTTGATTTTGTTCCATCCTGACCAGATGAATAAACCATTTGATTCTTTTGTTGTTCTTTAAAATCATTTACCGGTACATTGCTTACCATTGTTCCTAGTTTTTCATTACAAAATCTGTCTCTTCATGATTTTTCCTGCAGCATTTCTCATAGATCTCGCCTCCCATGTTTTAATTTTGCGTTGATCGATTTCTGGAACTGTTCATAACTGGTATTGATAGCACAAAGTTGGCACGACAAGCAGATTTATCCGTTACATTTGTGTGTGTGCATGATGATATTTATATATTATACATTTTATAATAATACACGATGCGCCAGTAGTATCAGAAGTGTGTGATTGTGCATGTTAAAACAGAATTTGGGCAATCTGGCAAGAGCTGCAGCGATACAGAGATCTGGCGTATAATGAAGCCGACTGTGCCCTCAACCTAATGAGAACTCCACTTCTTCCTTTCGGTGGCAAAACAGCTGACAGGTACAGCCTCACTTTCAGATATAGGTCAGTTTGTGTGTCTAAGTATATTTGTTTGTAGATAATCTGGAATAAAGCCATAAAACAACAGACCTGTATAGAAGAGATTCTAATTTATATACAGAGACATGAAATAAAACGGTTTACCCGTTTGAGAGAATACCATCTGATGCCATACGATGCAAGGCATACACTGAAACAGGAGAAGGACGTAAAGCAAAAGTAGACAAAGAACAGGATGGAAAGGCAGCATGAGCGAAATTCTACAACACTATGGTGTGCCTAAGGTCCAGGGGAACAGAAGTGCTGGAACCAAAACGTGTATCCTGTTCAACACCAGAATTGGTATAAGAGGGTGCAAGGAAGGAAGAAGACCGTACATTGTGTAGAACTGACAGCAGTCGTCGGTCACTGTCTTATCTTCGTCTTTAGGTGCCAGCTCTGGAGCAGGCATCAATGTATGATTCTCTTATCTACGGTTTCGACTGATGATTTGAGTGTTGTTGGTATACGCAAATCCATTTGCTGACCAGCTATTCAAGCGATCTTCATTCCCCACCAGTTTTGTGTAGTATATTGCTATTAACAAAATATGCTTGACATTCTTGCGTACTCTGTGGTTCCCCTATGTTATTCCGATCCTGGATAAGATGGATCTTCTCTAGTTCCCGAGTCTAGTGGTGACGCTCGTATGTGGATCACAAAGAGCCAGACGTTTAAATGACATTGGCTCCAAGGTCAACACAGTCCTAAATAAGTACCAGGTAATTCATGGGAAGTAAATGCGGTCTTCATGATGTTTACCACTTTACCCACCGTGTGCCGATTGGTTATAAAATATAGGTCCAATCTCATATGCCCAATAAGCCTGAAGGCGGGGGAAAGGGACCTTTGCTCTTTTCTTGGCCATCTATAGGCAGTGTAGGACAAAGGAACCCTGGGCCTGAGGTTTAAGGCCGCACACCTCGTACTATTGTCACAAACAGTGGAACTTAGGGTTTTTTTTTTTGTTCCAGCTCGGTGGGAAAAAAGGTGGGGGGGGGGGGGGAAAGGGAACAAGTTACATTCTCTACTGAGGATCGAGCCCGGATCTCCCCCACTTGGGCCTGGCATCTAACCACATTTTTAAATACAGTGTTTTGAAAATAGTTTGCAACACAAAGACGATTTATCACAGACATTATACACGTAGGTATATATTTCATTTTATAATATCCCTTCCCCCCCCCCCCCACCCCCAACCTCGAATGATTTAAAAATATTATGATCCAGGCGAGCAAAAAAGCACGAGTAACAAACTTGTATCGTTCTGAACTCCCAAATCGGTATATATGTTTATGAGTACTTTTAGACTTAGATGCGTGGCTTCATTTTATTACTTCACCCGAGTGTAGCCTGGGCGAACACATGGCAGATTACTGTTGGACACTTAAACGTCACTGTCCGTGTATCCATCATGGAAAGTCTTTAAAACAAAGCTTTACGTGTGTTGACTAGTGATAAACAAATGCTAGTGGTAATGTTTTAATACATTTTTAGTGCTGATGTGTTGAAGCCAAGAAAGGCAGCCGCAAACTACAAATCTACCAGCCACTATCGTTCCCAGAAGTCAAAAACCCCATTAAAAGAAAAATCAGAAACCGACTGGAAAACTAACACATGAAAAATGTCCTTAAACACCTGAACGTAAAATACCAAATGACAGTTTTTCTCTTATGCGCTGGCCACTGCAGACTTAGCAAACACTCATATAGATTTAGGTTTGAGCCAAACAGCTCTCTGCCAGTGTCTTCGTGCTGAACAGACTCCAGAACATATCCTTCAAGACTGTCCTCTCTTGGAGGAGCTGTGAAGCAACACGTGGCCACACCAAGTAGAACTGACAACTAAGCTTTGGGGAAACCTAAAAGACCTTGAGATGACATTCCAGTTTATGGCCTACAGTGATTTAATCGCTGAAAAAGATACTTTTAGTGATATGAAGATTGTATAAATTCAGATTAAAACCAAAATGCCATACACAGCCCCTGACTCTAGGCACATGCCCTACTAAGAAGGTAATTGTTAGTTATCTAAACGAAAATTAAAAATGGCCGATAGAAACATTGTAATTAAATTATTTTAATAAACAACATCAACAACCACACAAAACGGCTGTGATATGTGAGGCTCCAAAATGTGTGTAGATCAGTGTAATTGACGATGAAAGCTATGATGATGACGATGTTAATGACATTAAGTCCTCTGCTCTCCTAGCCGCCCCGCTGGTGTGTTTGACTACAGAAACCACCTCCATTATGAGTACAACACTCTAGAGTTCAACCAACATGACCATCCCTCAGCTGCAGAACCTTTTGAAGAAGCGTCAGGAGGATGGGCGTGTCTTTGCTGGGTTTTCGCTCCATAACATGGGCGTGACAGTTGATGTAGATATCTTTATATGTGTGTCTTCGGGCACAAGGGAGAAAGCCAACTGTGACCACAAGGTGAACTATTTGCTCACACTTTGGATAATAATTTAGGGATTCGGCTTTGAATCAAAAATTAGTTTCTTCTTCTTGTTCTTTCTCATGTTCTTGTTGTTGTTGTTGTTGTTGTTGTTGTTGTTGTTGTTGTTGTTCTTCTTCTTCTTCTTCTTCTTCTTCTTCTTCTTTCTTCTTCTTCTTCTTCTTCTCTTCTTCTTCTTCTTCTTCTTCTTCTTCTTCGTCTTCTTCTTCATCTTGATCTTCTTCTTCCTTTTTATCTTCTTCTTCTTCGTCTTCTTCTTCTTCTTCTTCTTCTTCTTCTTCTTCTTCTTCTTCTTCTTCTTCTTCTTCTTCTTCTTCTTCTTCTTCTTCTTCTTCTTCTTCTTCTTCTTCTTCTTCTTCTTCTTCTTTTTCTTCTTCTTTTTCTTTTTTTTCTTCTTCTTCTTCTTATTCTTCTTCTTCTTCTTCTTCTTCTTCTTCTTCTTCTTCTTCTTCTTCTTCTTCTTCTTCTTCTTCTTCTTCTTCTTCTTTTTCTTCTTCTTCTTCTTCTTCTTCTTCTTCTTCTTCTTCTTCTTCTTCTTCTTCTTCTTCTTCTTCTTCTTCTTCTTTCTTCTTCTTCTTCTTCTTCTTCTTCTTCTTTCTTCTTCTTCTTCTTCTTCTTCTTCTTCTTCTTCTTCTTCTTCTTCCTCTTCTTCTTCTTCTTTTTCTTCTTCTTCTTCTTCTTTTTATTCTTCTTCTTCTTCTTCTTCGTCCTCTTCTCTTCTTCTTCCCCTTCTTATTCTTATTCCTCTTATCTTCTTCTTCCTCTTCTCCGAGAGAGAGAGAGAGAGAGAGAGAGAAGAGAGAGAGAGAGAGAGAGAGAGAGAGAGACGCCGTGGTCAAGTGACTGGACATTCGCCTGCGGAAGGGAAGGTCGAAACAATTTTTCGCCAGATGTGTTCTGACAAGAAACCCTCCCGGTCGGAAACGAAACTAAACATCAAGAAGGTACAGCGTATACTTACATCCTTGGAAACCAACACTGACATGTTACAAGAAATCAGTAGACAAGAAGAATCACTATGAAATAAACGTCCTCTGACAACAAGACACAACAATGGAACCACAAGAATCCAGACCAGAACATGTACTGCAAAAAAAAAAAAAAAAAAATCGCAATTATAAGCAGATGAGCTTAAATGCTTGAATTCTGTTTGTTTTTTAACAGACTAAGATCTTCATTTGGCATTTGAACCAGCTCAGTCAAGACTGGATCTGTTTAATTGTTTCCTGCAATGTTCAGCATTGTCTTGTCCGGGATAATATTTATTTGTTCAGTTTTGATTTACAGTCCCGAGATGAATTGTCTTAACGAGACCAGTTGATTTGAGTTGAGTCGGAGAATTGACATCACAGCACTCGGGGCATTCCCATGGGTGCTCCGTCCTCATCTTCAGCAGCCAACGCAGAGTTCCAGTACTGTTGGTACAGGTCACAATCGGGTTACATGTAGAGTAGTGAGCCGGTTACACCTAGGTGCCTAATTCTCTCCAGACAATAATAATATTGTTTCACTACTGATTCCGTTGCTTGTTCCCAAACGGCCTTGACATGATCATATGTCGCAGTTTCATCTTATGTTCTTTATTTAAATAGTCAATATTTTAGTTCCCGCGGATCGGAAGGTCGTGGGTTCGCTCCCTGGAGAAGCCGGACTATTTTCAAAAATGACCTTGGCTCCCAGGTCGACCCAACCTTGAATGGATACCGGGTGCAGTCCCGGGAAGTAAAGGCGCTGATGTGCTGACCACATCACCCATCTTGTGCCGATTGGTGTATAAAAATATAGGTCTAGCCCTATATGCCCTTTACGCCTAATGGCGTTGAAAAGGGTCCTTTACTTTAAATTTTTTATTTTAGTTTTCATCACCAGAATATCACTATATTATCCCTTTTGTCTAGGCTGGCACATTTTCAATTCTGGGTGGAGAGGTAGAAATGCCGTTTGTCTTTGACCGTCTCTACAAACATGAAATCACGAAATCTGTTCGTGACCTGGGATCTAGACTGGACAGCGCGGCCAACTTCGAAGTAATTGTGGAAATTAGAGCTAACAATGGAAGTCTCCTCGACTCCTCAATTCTGCCTGCTGCAACTATCATTTTTGTGCCTGGAACTAGTAAGTGATTGATTTTCTTCCCCAGTTTGAAATAGAAATTGACAGCAACTTTAAAAAAAAAAAACAAATTATCTAATTTTATCCCCGGACGGATCATCATCATGCTAAGAAAAATTAGTTTAGTTGCGTACCCTTCACAGGACGTTGCAGAAACAACCCAAGCTATTTTTGGCCTGTTTTGTTGTTTTTCTAGGCAAATTTTACGTTCAGTTGTTTGCCATAGCCTTGCTTTCTGGACGGTCAGCTTTCGGTACCACTGTTGAAACCAACGCAAGAAGTTTAGCTGCCAAATTGCCCGCAATTAAGATCGAACCTAGCAGCCGGCATTACGAAGCGCGTTAGCAACACCTTCACTACATATGCCCAATCTCTAAGCCATAATCATGTACCTTGCCGAAAAGCGTCAGCTAGGCGGTCATGTTTCACTGTCAGAGAATCACAGAATCACAGAAAGGGTCAGTAATCCTGTTTTGCGGCACCCATTCAGTCACAATGGAGCTAATTATCTTGTCATCCTCTGCTCGCTTTTTTCAAGTCAGTCTTGCGAGATGTAATTAACTTCTTCAGCTCATTAGTTCTCACATCGTTCACACAAATTCACAAACCACACTGTGTATGTCTAATTTCTTTAATCTGTTTCTGGTTGTAATTTACTACCTGTTGGGGTTTCTCGTTTGCTTTCCTGGTGTTCCTTCCTTGATGTTCTTCGCATTCTGATTTTTTTTTAAATGTCCGCTGCCTGTCGATGTTTTATCTTGTCTGCTTAATGAGAACTTATAGGCTTGCCCGGCTGCATTTAGAAAACATGATAACATAATATGTATAATGACCTTTGTCTTGACCCAGCGTGTCTAGGAAATAAAAAAGAAAACCAAAATCACACAGAGAAGATTTATAGAGAAATTGGTGAAAACATGGAGAGAAACGAACGAACGAAAGAACTAACTATATTTTCAAAGGATTTCAAATTGTGTACGCAGGCCTGTCATATACTCGGTCCTTCGAAGCTTTTATCTTGCAGACAACAGTTGCATGTTATAAGTAACGAATGTTATGTTTATAATAAGATATACAAAATGGAAAATTGTATAGACACATCGTATAAACACAATCATACACGCACAAAATCTACGCGTGCATACACACTCTTACATGCCAATACATAGACAGACACATTCTCACTCATACATATACATACATACACAGACACTCACACTCATACATACACACTGATACAGTATGTACATTAGGGACATGTAGGGAGGGCATGTGGGTAGGATGTGCGGAGAGGACATTATGGAGGACACTGGGAAAATAATAAGGGGAAGGACTTGTGGGGAAGATACAAGATAACATTATACTGATGATATCATCACTGTTATTTCTTCATCTCCTTCTTCTTCTTCTTTTTCTTCTTCTTCTTCTTCTTCTTCTTCTTCTTCTTCTTCTTCTTCTTCTTCTTCTTCTTCTTCTTCTTCTTCTTCTTCTTCTTCTTCTTCTCTTCTTTTCTTCTTCTCCTTCTTTTTCTTCTTCTTCTTCTTTTTCTTCTTCTTCTTCTTTTCTTCTTCTTCTTCTTTTTCTTCTTCTTCTCCTTCTTTCTTTTCTTCTTCTTCTTCTTCTTCTTCTTCTTCTTCTTCTTCTCTTCTTCTTCTTCTTCTTCTTCTTCTTCTTCTTCTTCTTCTTCTTCTTCTTCTTCTT